TCTGCCGCAAACTGGCGTCAATAGTTTTCAGAAGTGCGAAATATTCTGTTTCCCTTTCTGGTTTTCCTGGACACACACAAACAGTTTTGGGACCTTTGTTTGCCTACTAGCTAACCTTGGCCAGGTCGAACTTAAAGGGTCTGTTTACTTTAAAACGGAGATGGTTAACGCAGTCTAGGAAAACTACACACGAGAGTAATATCTTCACACTTGTTTTCATCGCGGGACCGAATTGAGGCTGTCCCTGTTGTCTTAGGCTTGCGATCTACAGTCCTCACGTTTTCCTGGTCTAAGTAGGAAGTTGACGGCCAGTGATTGACATTCCGGTCATTCATAAAACTGTCCGTACAAACACTGCACAAGCAATAGGCATGAACCGAAAACGTAGCCTGGAGTCCTACTTACGGTGCCCTGGGTCCAGCCTGTGTCAGAAGTCGCTGAACGTACCCTCAAGTCAATCGACGTTGGCATTGTTAATCAGCCTAAGCCAGCATGAAGCCCAGGCACAGGCTTTTTCGTCCAGAGTCATGTTAACAATTATCTACTGCATTACCTCTCGTATTTCTTCTGACGAGGTCTACAAAAAAGGCCACCTGCAATTTGAGAGTTCGTATTCCCCCGCCCTACCGAAAACTTTGTTGCTTCTGAAGCAACAAAGTAAATGAAGGTAGGTTGCATATTATAATATTTGCTGGTGTTAGTAACTTTGGTAAAACATAAAAGACCTACTCCCTCTGGCGATACGACCAGAAAATAACCTTGTTGCCTGACGACAGAGATAGGAATAACCGGAAAATTGTTAACTTAAATAAAACGCCATGCATTTGGCACACCTTAATGACAAAAGTGAGGCTAATTCCCCAGTTTCTCTTGTTAGACTTCCCGTGTGATGTGATTAAACGACCTCCAAGGCATGACAGTATAGACTTAACGACATTCGGCCTCGCGTTTATTGAGACATTTTGAATTCAAATTTGACAGAAGAAACTTCAAAGACGGTTTATTAAAGCCATGCTGTGAAGTAAACAGGCAGGGTCCTCACATACCTTCATAATGCTAGAAAGGGCTAACAAAGGGCTGCAGTTTTAATAAATTGTATGTGGCCCTACAATTTCACAGCCTGTTAAACTGTGGATGACTATTTGACCGGCTTACTTAGGCAGAATTCGCGACAGAGTTCGACCCTTCGGTAATCGCCATTCTCGCTTTAACAGGACAAGTCCATTTTCAGTCCTACTCAGGTAAAATTATTCCTTGAAATGGAAAACGTCTTTAGTATGTGTACATCCAAGATGACGATCTTACACAAAATAGGTTTTGCGTAACGATTTGCAAAATTACTCATTCTTTGCGAATACTGAACTGGCTTGTCAAGCTGAATTATGCTTCGTCTTCCAGAGCTCCTGAATGATCGTTGAGTATGAAGGCTCTCTCGAAAGCGTTTATATCGGTAAGATGTGGTTTGGTGGGGTTGGGCTTAAGGGTGAGGGTTAGGGGTTAGGGAAACTATTTCGCAACCACTCAGAGTACAACCGCGCATTCCCAATAGCTTTTATTTTGCATACAACTACTTAACCTCGCCACCTGTGCGTTCTCCGGCCCCACCTGTAAAA